TGGCCCTCCAGATACCCATTTGTGGCCTCTCAACACGATACAAACTTCACAGAACAAATCCCTTTATAAAGGATTTGTTCTGTAAAATTTGGATTCAGTCAAAAGGCAACACTAAAGGATCCAGAAAGCCACATGTGACCCCAAAGCTGCAAGTTCCCTACCCCCATAAGTTGTGTTGGATTTTCAGCCTTGCATATTTCCTGGCACAAAGTAGACAATAAATACAGTAAAGGAAGTTCAAGAGAGTTCAAAGTATTCATCTGAATATCCTATCTTTGGTTAGCTTATATTAGATACTGGCCATTTATAAGAAGGTATGGAATAAAATACCTTAATTGTTCAATATTTATTGAGCTCCTGTGAATATGGTTCCAAGAAGTATTTCAAATAAGTCATACCATTAAATCTTCACAATAACTCTATATAATAGGTGTTATCATAATTTTCTAGTTTTAGAATTTGGTATCAGAAAGAATAAACACTGATTAAAAGACCTCTGTTGTAGTCAGAGTGCTTGGGTTGAATATCATTTATCCACCATTTATAAGCTCCGTGACTTTCAAAAACTAATCAAATATGGGGCTCAGGTTTTTTTTTTTTTTTACAGAATGAGTGTAATATAATACATGTAAAGGACTAAAAGAGTGTCTGGCAAGTAGCAAGTATACAATAAACATTACTTAGTTGTTAAAGTAAATGATAGGTCTGGATTCAAACACAAGATTTCTGAATCCAAAGCCCATGATTTTTTTTCACAAACACTTACTACTACATAGAAATATAATTGCAAAATTTCAAAACGTAAGAAGAATAAATGACCATATTAATAACATTATCTCATTATTCAATCTAGTGTGTTTAGAAAAGGAAGCGATTCAAGCAGTCATCAAAGATAGCTTATGAAATAAGTGAAGCAGTATGTATACTTACTTTGGCAATATGGTCTTTCATTTCTCCAACTCCAGGTACCATTAGGAAGACATTCAATAGAAGCAGGACCTAGTCCATGATAACCAGGGTCACAGCTGAAAACTACCTTGGTTTTGTATTCATAATGGGAGCCGTTCACAATTCGCCATCTTCCGTGTTCCAAGGTAAAAGAATTGATGCTTGGACATGTAACAACTATAAAAAAAACAGAGAATATAAATGTCAATAAGTCAATCGTGTTTGTTTCACCTTCTAATTATATCTCATGCCTATTCCATGCATTACATCTCCACTGCCTTAATTCATTCACTGTCGTTCCATACAAAGTCCTTTAGCATTTATTCTTTATTTCTTTTCCATGTTAATCTTTTCCATTTTCCTAGTAGCATGGTACTGCTGGCAGTTCCTTGAACAGGTCCTGCTGTTTCACAATTCAGAGTCTTGTATGTATTATTCTACCTACTTAGCATCCCAATTTCTGCCATACCTCTATTCTCTTATTTCTTTAGAAGTTTAGGAAGGAATATATTTTGAGGAAGTTTGTTGGATGAGAATGGCCTTTTTATGCAGGGGCTATGATATAAACTTTGGCTAACTCAAAACTTGCTCAAGATAAATAGAAGCATTATTAGATACCTATGCTAAGTTTGCAAACAATTTAACATTTAATTTAACAATTTAATTTAAGTAAAATCACAGTTAAGTCAAAATGTTAATATTAAATGGGAAGAAATAATTCAATTATAGAGAAAGTAAAAGACATTATTTAAAGCAGTATTTTCCATTCCTTTTGCTACCAAGCATTTTGTCAGAATTAATGTCTATTTTC